ACATGTAATTTAAATATTCATACAAACACACATTTTATTTCTGTAGTTCTCAAAATCCATATACTGTATATTGCTGAAATGAAAATCTATAGGTTTACCAAATGATTAATTGATTAACCATTAAGATCTGTTGGATTAAATAATAGACAAAAGTATTAAACTGAACAAAAAGAGATGCAAATCAAAAGTTTGATAGTAAGAGCTTTATGAAAGGCAGTTACTGTGAATGAAACAATAATGTAGATGAAACACTTATTTTGTGTTGTGAAAAGGATACTTTGTGATTGTGTGAATTGTACTAACACAGTTGAAAACATGATGAAATGTTTGAAAAAAGTGCACTTTTGATGATCTGTTGTGATATTAGCACTAAGAGTTTTGAAAATGTACACCTTACTTGTGAAAATAGTACCAAAGCGAATAAAAAAAACTGTAAACTAAATGTACAAACTTGAATTGAAGGCAAACATTATTCCAGTGTAATATTAGTATTTGCATGCTCCAGCCTGCCCCTGTTGTTTCAGCTGTTTACGACAGCAGTTTCTCTCCAGTGGGGCTTTGAAGCTTTGAGAACTGCTCACATGAACAATGAGAAACATGTGATGTTTATAGACAGCATGGGTCTAGTGCACTCAGCTCTTGCACTCATAAGTTTGCTTTGGCCTGACTGACGCCTGCAGGGTTGAAGAAGAACAGCAGGAAGTTGCGCAACAGAAAACTGAATTCTTGTCACAATTGTCACAACAACATCTTTACTCAAACAAGATAAATTGGCCTTCACTGTAGCACATTAACGTTTGCTATAAAATTAACATTAACTTTATGTTCACAAAGAGCCGGTCAGTTAACTGTGTGAATAACGAGAAGAAAATAATAAGATAATGAGAAGAAAATAAAGTATTATATTAGGCCTTTATTAATACACTATTTAAACTTCTTGTACATATTTTGAGAATTAAGATGATATAATAATTAAAATATTTGTTTGTTATTTTGTTTTTTGAGGTGAAAAATACTCATTACTGTTTTTGTAACTTAGTATTTTTTCAGTTTAATTGTAGTTTTCTTTATTCACAGTGATAATTCTGCTTTTTTATGGCATTATTTATTACATAATACATAAATACTGAATTTACTTATCATTTAAATAACATAGTTTTGCATTAAGGTACCGTAATTAAAGTAAATTTTGTATTAATGAGAGTTTGGGGGAAATGCCCAAAAAAATATTTAAATTGTATAGTAAAATTCCATCAAATTGAATTGAATAATCCTTACGTATTATTCATTATTCTTTGTGAATGAAGAATTTTAAATGAGTAAAAAATCGAAATGAAACAAAGGAACGGACCATTTAGTTTATGTGATTCGTATTAATAAATGTAAACATATTTTAAATGTTTTAAAAATGAAATGGTCTATAAGATTCTTACAAAATGTTTATTAAGCTCTAGTTTTTTTTTTTTTTTTTTTTTGGGGGGGGGGGATTATATATATATATATATATATATATATATATATATATATATTTATTGAGTGATCTTCTTACTTGTCATGAAAATAATGCACTGCACAAAAGCTTGCTCCCTAAAATTATCTTGGTGGATGGTAAAATGGTAAGCTTGTAACCTGTAGCATTTATGGAATTCATGCCAATTAATGCTACAAAAAAGTCAAATTATTTTGTGATTCTCCCACTTTTCAATGAGAAGCCATAGCTGATGATCATTTTGATTGTTCTGAGCCTCCACATTCAACATTGCTCCAGTCTCCTGACCATTCATCTCCAAAATAACGTCCCTCGTCTGCAGTCTGCTTCCTTCATGAACCTGTCAAAACACAGTATGAGAAAAAGTCCTAAAGACCATATCATTCAAAGGCATCAAGACCATCTTATGCGTTACACTTTAAAAGCATAGTTCTGTTTAGGAGAAAATGTGTGCCACATTATATTCAGCTCACCATGGAGACAGTCAGAGTCCTCTTAAAGTCTCTTCCTCCACAGATACGAAACCCCCATGGTGGTAGACTTGTCAAATTCATCTGTCTGACACAAGCTTTGAATCTAAATGCTCTTTAAGAACAACAAAATCGGTTTGTGTTTCTGACCTGTGCTGTGCCAATATGGGACTCAGCCGTTTATGGTGTATTTTTAATGTTTTTCTGGAGCTTAGAGATATGGAGGCTCTGTGCGGTCACCACCACCCATGAACATCTGTAAATGATGTTCTCTGATGATGTCAATTGTGACAATTTTCATGACAAGAAAAAATTATGGTAAAACCTAGTGGTGGTTTTTTTTCAAATGCCTATAACTTTGGGTGTGGTTGTCACGGAAGTCATCTTTTTGAGTTCCTGAATCATTGCCGAGTCCAAAGATACCAAACACGCTGGGTTTCGTCTTACGGTTTGTGTAGCGTTGCAATTTAGCGTGAAAAAAACATTTGGCTATATCTTCGAAATTTTTGTCCGATCGACACGAAACCACCATCAGAAGTTTGGAAACATAGGTCGATAGCTAAACACCAATGCTCAAATGCGAAAATATTGATAGTAAGGGGTAGTAAAATTCAAACAAAGTCATGTGTCAGTCATTTTTTACGTATTTTTCATATAAATGTCTATAACTCTGAAGCAAGTTGAGATATTTTCACCAAAATTGACACACATATGTATGGGCTCACCCTAAGGACACATAAAAAAATTGTGGGACTGAGCCTCTTGGTGGCACTATAATAGAACAGAACATGAAATTCCCATTGACTTACAGTTTTGTGAAATAAAATACTATACTATACTAAACAAATGCATTGGTGTAATATTACTAAACTCAGAATGTGCCAACAACACCATCCCCTGAAGGTACTCAAAATATTTCGAAACACCAAGTGGTCAAAAGTTATAACAAAATTTCCAAAAAGGCTAATAACTTTTGAATAAATCTGCCTATTGAAATGCCACTGGTCTTAATAGATTCCTTGGGTCAAGCTGAGAACATAGATACCAGGTTTACCAGGATACCATCGTATCTTCTCCAGACCATGCCGACTAAAAGCTATAGATTTCGTGTCGATAGATGAAACTGTTTTCGTATAGCGCATCAGCAAAGCTGAGGCATGATGCTAAAAGCATTATTCAGGCTTCATCTCTGCAATGATTTGACATATTGACACCAAACTTGTGTCATTGTCACTTCACTCTGACCAGATCACATCAGTTTTGTAACTGCGCCACCTATTGGTCGAAAGTGATAATCCATTAAATCAAATTTTTATTTACAGTTTCTATGATTCTATGATTTTTCAGCCATTTTGCATACAATTGTCTTTATTTGTCTTTCATTGCTTATTGTTGCAGTTGACACTTTCAGCAACGTTGGCATGTCTTGTTGTCTTATGCTGCTTGGCCCCAGTAATTGCTGCTTGCAGCTATATTTGTTTTTAGATTTATAGGACGGTACTGTGCAAATTTCGACATCTGCTCATAATTCTAATAATCAAGCTGACAAAAATCCTAGATTTAACAAGTATTAAGAAATTAAATGTTTTGTAAATGGGGTAAACAATTTTGCATAAAAGTATGCTGATAGCACATACTAATTTTCAGTAGTTAGTAAATGCGACATATCGCAAAATTTAGGAATAGGCAGGAACATTAGTAGATAATTGTCATTATTTATTATTATTATTAGTTATTATATGATTAACCCTCAAAAGGTCTTCGTTTCCTGTTTACAAATCTGGTCATTGGGGTCAATATGACCCCAACAATTGATAGAGAAATTGTACAAAAACTATACATTTTTAATAATACAAATAATTTTTTTTTTTGTTTACTTCTCATCTATTCATTAATGCTGTGTTTTGGGAGATAAGAAGTACTTTTGTACCTATCTACAACATAATTCCTCAACCACACCATAAACTTATGCATATGAAATCTTAATTTTTTATGTAAAAATCACTTAAATACTGATCAAAATTTAATTTAAATTGCTTCTGGATATTGAGCTAGGTGTTATTTGTAGAATTACACTATCTACTGGTTAGAGATAAAACTAAATTATTTACAGTTTTAGAAATAAATAGTTTTGACCAGCAGAGGCAATAGAGAGCCATTCATTTCACTGCATGTGGCCTACTACTTTTGTCACAACTTTTGAAATACATTTTATGAATTTTTATATATATATATATAAACATAAGAAAGGACATTTAAAATAATAAATGTTTTAAATAGTATAATTGTTGTAGTTTTGATGCATTTTGAAACGTCTGTTTTTACAAAGTGCCACAGAAAAAGGACACCTAAATGCCACATAAGACACACCTAAAGGACAAGACTTGGAGTCAGATTTTAGTTGCACATTGTTGATTTCATTGAAAAAAGTGTAAAAATAAATAATTAACTTTAGAATGCAAAATAAATAAAATAAATAATATGAAAACAAAAGCAATATGAGTGAACATCTAATCTAACATTTTTTCCAATAAAATTCTGAACTCAAAAAGCAATAACAAGCTACAAAAAAACATGTAAAACAAATTGTAAAACTATAATCGGTGTGTGTGAGTGTGTGTGTGTATTAGGTCTCACACTTTAATATCTTTGTTCTGCATTTGTGACTGATTTCATTTGTGAGTTCTAAAAAATGCTCTCTGTGGCAGTACACTCATACATGTTTGTTTGTGTGTGTGTGTGTGAGTGAGCATGTCTTTTCTACATCACATTTATGCTCTAGTAGTAGGCCTTCATTTCTGTGTGGAAATTTTCTGATTTATGATGGATTTATATATTTTTTTGGACAAATGAATAAAAAATATTTCGTTTTTTTTTCACATTTCCCATTCATTTCAATGTGGGGTCATATTGACCCCGAAGACCAGATTTGTAAAAAAAATTTTTTACACACTTCAGAACAACCGAATCAAGCCCAGTTTTTTTTGTGTGTGTATAGATAGATTATGTAGGAAAAGTCACAAAATCTTATTCCACTCAGATAAAGGAAACCATTTTTTTTTTATTAAGGAAAAGTCGATTGGGGTCATATTGACCCCAAGGACCGATTGAGTGGTGCGGTCACATTGAGCGATGTTTGGTGTCTGTTTACGATCTGGAATTTTGCGCGAGGACGAACGCTTTTCCCACACAGATTTCCCATCAGCTGTTCCAGAATTCTGGGGATTGACCAACAGAAAGTTGCTCGATAAGTGAAAGCGGCTTTAGCATACCTTGCTTCACTTTTGGCAATAGATAATATACCTTTTTTTACAGGTGAAAAAGTTCCAACGTTTTTCTGTATAGAGCTGTTTCGCCAGTTCACACAACGTATTCTGCTGATAAAAACAGTGGAATGAAAAAAGAACAAGGTCTAGACCCTTTGACCAGCCATTCTAACTTAAAAGATTTTCCTTTTTCATTACACTGCTCTACACATTAAGGATATATTACAAAGATAGTTTGTGTTATGTTTAGAAAATTCTTAAGAGATGTTGACTGTGCAAGACAAAAATCAGGCCCCTTTGGTCTTGATTTAAATTAAAAACTTGTGACCTGCTTGAAACAAAAAAACAAAACCACTGTCCTTTCAGAATAGTTAGATATTAACCTTTCAATACCGTTTGAACATATAAATGAAAAAGTAAACGAAGATAATGTTAAAAAAAAAAAAACCCAAAAAACTACTGTATTAAAAAAAAACAGCACACTAGAGAGGTTGCCATGAGGAGATGATCTGAGCAGCTAAACACTTAACAGACATTGTTCTTCATGGTTCTACCAAAATCACAGTTCTATCCACATCATCCCTTCACTTTTTTACACAATCTTAAATAAATCACTTCAAACTCTTCCACTCTTTCTTCTCCTGGGACATCATGCATTACAAACAAACTGTGAAGGAAAAAATAAATAAATATAAAAAAAAATTCACTCAAGTATGCCATGTGTAACTCTCACTCCAAACGGAAATTATAGTCAGCCCAGGAATTGAAAGCAACAGAGACAATCGTGCAACAATGCAAAAGCTCCTGAGGCGCAGCAGTGAGCCGAGGGTCTGGCAACACAGCTCACGAATGACTTCATCGGTTCTGTTCTACAGTTGTGTCCAAACAGGTTCAGGAAGGGGCCAGTCGAGCTGCATCTCTTCAAGAGCGACTGCGGTCTTCGCTGCTGCCCACTAAAACCTTGCTGTAAAGTTTCTGCTGCTCCTCTTTGAAAACTTCTTTGACTTTCCCTCGTTTCAGTCCACCATCCCTGTGAGCATGCAAAGCACAAAAGGTTTAAGCTTTATTCCATTTTAAAATGTCAGTGTGTGTTCTTTTAAGTCCCAACTCAGATTACATTTGTTTGAGACAGTTTTTAAAGAGGAACCAACCATAACAAGTCTGCCAGTCCTCCCTTTCTAGCGATGGCTGCTTTAACTCTATTGGCAAACTGCACAGCGTCCTCCCCTTCCTGTAAAAATAAGAATTTAAAACTCACCTAAATATAATGAAGGGGTTGAAAAAAGCTCCAAGATGCAAAGAAGTTTAGAGAGAAAAAAAATACAATACCATTCAAAAGTTTGGGGTCTGAAAGACTTCTTAATGTTTTTGAGTCCAACATGACATCACGACTTTTGCCTGAACATATACGCCACTTTCGAGTCAGGTGGCGTGTCATCTCTACGCATTTTGTGCTATCCGCGTGTATGCGTATATGTCTACGGCATTAACGTCCACGTCATTCCGCGTGTCTGTACACGCGGTCAAATCTCCAGTCATAAATTCCATTAACCCCAGTGACGGTTAAGTTTAGGGATGGGGTTGAGGTAAGTCATATCTTTTTTTTTACCTAGGATGGTAAGGGAACAGTCATAAATGCCATTAACCCCAGTGACGGTTAGGTTTAGGGACGGGGTTGAGGTAAGTCATATATTTATATAACGTTAAGTCAATGGCGTTCATAAACACGCTGAAAGGCGATTATGCTGTGAAAAACAAACACAACACATATAAAGTGGGAATGAGCTTTGTACAACTAGATCTGACAAAAAAAAAAAAAAAAATCGGAGGTATATTTTTACAGACTACTATAGAAAGAAGAGCAAATGGATCGCTGCAATTCACAGAAACAACTGGACTCTGGTCAGCGAAAGGTGGATTTGCAGTTATCAATTTGTGTCAATACGCTGAATTTAGGTGTAAAACCATACCCATATACACTCACCGGCCACTTTATTAGGTACCCCATGCTAGTAACGGGTTGGACCCCCTTTTGCCTTCAGAACTGCCTCAATTCTTTGTGGCATAGATTCAACAAGGTGCTGGAAGCATTCCTCAGGGAGTTTGGTCCATATTGACATGATGGCATCACACAGTTGCCGCAGATTTGTCGGCTGCACATCCATGATGCGAATCTCCTGTTCCACCACATCCCAAAGATGCTCTATTGGATTGAGATCTGGTGACTGTGGAGGCCATTTGAGTACAGCGAACTCATTGTCATGTTCAAGAAACCAGTCTGAGATGATTCCAGCTTTATGACATGGCGCATTATCCTGCTGAAAGTAGCCATCAGAAGTTGGGGACATTGTGGTCATAAAGGGATGGACATGGTCAGCAACAATACTCAGGTAGGCTGTGGCATTGCAACGATGCTCAATTGGTACCAAGGGGCCCAAAGAGTGCCAAGAAAATATTCCCCACACCATGACACCACCACCACCAGCCTGAACCGTTGATACAAGGCAGGATGGATCCATGCTTTCATGTTGTAGACGCCAAATTCTGACCCTACCATCCGAATGTCGCAGCAGAAATCGAGACTCATCAGACCAGGCATCGTTTTTCCAATCTTCTATTGTCCAATTTTGATGAGCTTGTGCAAATTGTAGCCTCAGTTTCCTGTTCTTAGCTGAAAGGAGTGGCACCCGGTGTGGTCTTCTGCTGCTGTAGCCCATCTGCCTCAAAGTTCGACGTACTGTGCGTTCAGAGATGCTCTTCTGCCCACCTTGGTTGTAACGGGTGGTTATTTGAGTCACTGTTGCCCTTCTATCAGCTCGAACCAGTCTGGCCATTCTCCTCTGACCTCTGGCATCAACAAGGCATTTCCGCCCACAGAACTGCCGCTCACTGGATGTTTTTTCTTTTTCGGACCATTCTCTGTAAACCCTAGAGATGGTTGTGCGTGAAAATCCCAGTAGATTAGCAGTTTCTGAAATACTCAGACCAGCCCTTCTGGCACCAACAATCATGCCACGTTCAAAGTCACTCAAATCACCTTTCTTCCCCATACTGATGCTCGGTTTGAACTGCAGGAGATTGTCTTGACCATGTCTACATGCCTAAATGCACTGAGTTGCCGCCATGTGATTGGCTGCTTAGAAATTAAGTGTTAACGAGCAGTTGGACAGGTGTACCTAATAAAGTGGCCGGTGAGTGTATGTTGTATTGTTACATATATTAACAACTCATCAATTAAATATTTATCATTGCATATTCTGCATTATTGGATGTTTTTTTAATAAACACCGACCAAAAAAAAAAAAAAACTATAAAGTTTTGGGGTTGGACGATATGATGATATAAATATAAGCTATATATAACACTGATATAAGTGATCACCCGGATTTATATCTACCTATATTGTATTTATATAAAGCATTCACAGGCAAATTTGCTTCAGCCTATATTTAGGTCTATATTGCTTGTACTTCCACGGTGTCGAAATCAGGCAAACATAAATGTCAGGCAGCACGATTCCTGGCTGCATGTCAATATCCATGGATCACTGGATCTTTAGTAAGTTGTAAGGAACACTATATTGAGTCCAACATTTAGTTTAAATTGATAAAATTGTTCGTTTTAGTGGCATTTTCGCAGTTTCCTCTATTAAATCCAGTCACGCAGCAGATCTTTTGCCACTCAGTCAGGCTGAGGGGGGTTGTTCTGGCGGCAAAGTGACGTCAATCAATGCATTCCCTCTATAGTGAAATATTATTACAATCCGAAACAACTATTTTCTATTTTAGTCTATAATAATATATTATTTATTAATATAAATGTATTTACTGACACTTTTGACAATTGAATTCATCCTTGCTGAATAAAAGTATTAATTTCCTTAAAACAAACTTTTGAACGGTAGTTTTTCATCTCTTTTGAAGCTTCACCACTCACCATTCGGCTCATTGGTGGAAGGTACCAGACGCTACACACGATGGCCCAACTGCTCATCATGTGCAGCAGATAGTTCACCATCCCAAATTTGCTGCTATTCCAGAAGGCATCACCAAAGCGAGGATCATACTGCCAAAACAACAGCCAGAGGAATTTAACACCACTTAATAACAATGAAGACAACGTATAAGGAGGTTGTTCTTACCTTTATGGCCACAGGATAAACTGTGCAGCCAATCTCAAAGCTTCCCTTCTTGAACATCATGACTGAAGTATTGTTTATACAAGTTCCTTCAGAAAAGACAAAAAAAGGTTATTTATACACATACTTCACTATGAAATTTATAAACAGGAATTTTAACACTTACCCTCTGGGAATATAAGGATTGGCAGTTTACTTTCATCTGCAACATGGTCACTTAAACTAAAAAAATATATATATTTATAATAATAATTTGTTTGAATTTGTGACAAACAGAAATGCTCAAATTGTAAATGTAAGAAAATTGATGCAGGTGATTAAATGCAATGTTACCGTTTGGCCACTAGGTGTCGGTCCTTCACTTCAGACCTCTCAAACCAGATGTGAGGACAGGCCTTCACCATCGCCCTCTGAATGACCCCCATCAGACCACCATGGACCTGGCCCACCTGATGCACACAGAATTATTAAAACCGGAGGACTCATATTACATTAAATATCAATACTAAACCAAAGTCATGAATACAAACATCACACTACCATAGCATAGCATCCGTCACTGGCCAGAATGATGACGTCGATAGGCGAGGTGTGATTGGCCACACAGATTCCTCCGTTTTTGGGTTTATTCTCACTTGAAGGAAAAATATAAGTGGATAGAAAGAAATATGGAAAATAAAACAATGCAACAGGCATACAGATGTGTAGCTGTAGTCACCAAGCAACATGACAACTCTAATGTTAAATACTGGAATATGGAAGTGTTTGTGTGCCAATACCTGTCATGATAGGTAATGATGGCCGTGAGGGCTCGTACACAGATCCGGTAACACATTAAATGAACCTTGTCGCTGAGATAATTCTTCATTCTGCACATTTCAGCACAGAAAACATTGTTAAAAAAAACACCTTTACATTGGAAAAAGAGATTTAACAAGTCTTTGAGAGTGTTTAGATCAACTAGCCAATATATGCGTGTGTTTATATCTTATTACTAAAGTCAAACACTTTCTAATATGTTAAATTATTATTATACACCTCTTGATTGAATTTTGATTGATTTTACACTACCATTCAAATGTTTGGGGTCAGAAAGATTATGTTTTTGAAAGAAGATTTGATCAGTAAATTATATACATTTCATAATATATTACAATAGAAAACTGCTAATTATTTTTACAATATTTTTACAGTTTGCTATTTGAATACATTTTAAAATATAATTTGTTCCTATGGTCAAATATGAATTTTCAGCATCATTATTCCAGTCTTCAGTCACATGATACTTCCAAAATCATTCTATTATGCTGATTTGCTGCTCTAGAAATATTTCTTTTTATGATGCTAGTTGAAAACACTTTGCAGCAAACATTTAGGTAGAAACAGTGATACAATTTTTTTTAGGATTTTTTAAAAAGAAAAGTTGTAACCAAGTATTTAAACCCAACTCAACAGCCTCAGACCTTCAGAAGTGTGCCGAGACATACCTTCCATTCGGAAACAGTCCAACGATTGACGACTGAACCACAAGAAGGCCGACACCAGTAAAAGCAAGCGTGACCCTGTAAGAGCAACACGGCAAATGTTAAAAACAAGATCTAAGAAGGACACAGCTTAACATAATTACAGCATTATGTCTGCATTAGAGTAATCATCCTGGGCTAGTGGAGATTAAAAACAGGCTCAGATGATTTGCAATTTTTTTTTGGTATAGTTCTTTTGAATAAAAATACAAGGTAAGGCCTTAAAATTGCTGATGCCTTAAAGGTGCTGACAGTTTAAAACCGGTGAATCCTTAAAGTCTCATCTGTTTCTAAGGTTTGGAAACGGGCCACAGAGAACTTCGACTATTTCTCACTTAGGCTCCATCCGCTTGCTAATATTTCTGCAAGCAGTAACCGAAACATAAAATCTTTTCAGAGCCAGTACATCAATGAATAGTCCCATTTAAAAAACCATATCCGTCCACAAAGCATTCATCGATCTCCCTCTCACCTGAGTGGCAGTAGAAACCCATATCGAATGAGCACGCCCACCCCCCAGAGCACCGTGAGCCTGGTGCTGATGTGGTGGAAGTTGTAGTTGCTGCGGGTCAGCAGGTTCCAGGACTCCAGCTCCTCCGCTGTGAAGCGCTTGGTCACCTCGTCATCGACGATGCTCTCCACGCCACGCCGGCAGAAATTGAAGATGTCAGACATGTCAAACTCAGGCTCTGCACCACCACGCCTCATTTCCTGGATCTCCTGTTCGAGGGACGCTGGTTCTTTAGCAATGATCCCTGTGAGGGGGAAAAAAAAGAGCAGGGTTACGACAGTGTCGAAAATATGACGCAGGTAGGAACTCATGTGAATGATCGTTTTAGTGTTTCACCATTGCTGTAGGGTTTGTAGAGATGCTGATTCTTCTCTCTGGCTCCTCGCTCCATTCTTAAGGTCGCCCACTGAAAGCAAAATGAGAATTATCAGACAAATTAAATAAACTGCAGATAGTAATGGTTCAGAACTGTATCCTGCTGTGTCCGTTGTAGTATCGCAGTAACAGAGCCTCAAAATAGTGATATTTTTCACTAAAGGTGAGAAAAATATTTTATTTGACCACTTCCTTTTGGTATCGATGTGATGGTGGATCCGGTTAATTATGGAATTACATGACATGAGTCTTAATTGGATCACTTAATCTTCCTTTTGTTACATTTGTTATGTATCCCCAATGGCGGGCTCTGCAACCGCAAAAGAACTCATACAGCTGTCACAAGGATTGGGGAAACAAACAACATTCAAGCGATAAACAGCCTTTGGGGCACCAATTTCACAGAGATACAGCCAACGGGGAGGAGAACACAACGGCTGATCCATGTGTCCTTGTAGAGACCTGGAGTTCAGCCAAAGGCCCTGAAAACCTCATATAAGCCCATATACACCATCCACTGACAGTTTAACTGGCTTTTTAACAAATAATGAATTGTTTTATGGAATCAATTCTTTATGATGATTCAGTCAAAATGATTCAGAAAGCATCTACCAAGCTCATATTGGAATCTATAAAACCTATTTGAAACCAGATGACTTGACTTAAAAGAATCAGTTCGGATTGAAATGAAGAGGCTAAAAGAACTGGGCTGTCTTAAACCTGAACTAAATACAGAATGTGTTTTTCCATTCCACTGCGCTACTTTTCCATTGTTTTATTCATTCCACATTTTTAACAGCAAAAAATGTCTTAGTCTTTACTTCCTGTAATCTTAAATTCGATTAAACTGAATTAAAGAGAAATGCATAAAATCTGCCATACTTTGCCTTGTTTATGTCTGAACATGCATGTACATATGTGTGTGGTGTGGACTCAACATTTGATGTTGCTGCATCTGAATTTCCCCTAAGGGATCATTAAAGTGGATTAGTCAAGTGAGGACAGCAGCTGAGCAACGAGTGTGGAAAGATGTCCTTTCGCTGTGTGAAAGTAAACAGTGACTCTCTCGTGGTCACTGATGATGCTGTGACTCAGTTAGTTGTGGAAGCGAAGGTCGGGATGGGGAAAGAGTGAACAGTCAAGCTGCTTGTCAGACTAAATTTTGCTCCCCTGTTCAGGGTCACCGGACAAAAGAGTAAGTGGAAGTTAGTCACAGAAAAACAGCCATCTGGAAGTTCTTAGGGAGTCTGGAGACGGTCTGAACGAGTGACTACATCAGTCCAGATGGATGAGAGAGTGGAGCCATAGGAAATAGGAAAGGTCACACATTGAAAGCTCCTATTGACATGCATTAAGCAAGCAAATTGTTGCAACAATTAGGAATATTTAGGCACCTCACGATTTGGTTTTAATTGATTGAGTCAAGAATGTGATACTTGATGCATCTCAATTTTTTTAATTACAGTGTAGGGGAGCAAATCTTTTGCATTAAATCATGCATTAGAACTAACGATTTGCTTCATGTTATCCAAAGTATGTGATATCTTTGATACTTGCTGTCAGGTCCAAAAAGAGAAACGCATCGAAAAAGCATCAAGGACAGGTCAGTGTTTCTCCATTTCTGAATGGAAACATGCTAAGCCATGTCAACAGAGCTCCAGAATCAACTTGGATATACCAGAAGATATTATGGATGTCCCGATAGAATTTTTGGTATCGGATCGATTCGTTCAGGAAAAAAATAGTAGGTATCGATCGATACCACCACAGTTTGAAAGAAAAAATTTAAATAGAATTTCTATAACTGTGTGCGTTGAACTGATAATCAGTTGTTTGTGTGTTAAACACAATCTACGTAATACAGACAACTTCATTATAAAGAAAAACCACAAATCAAATATATATATATATATATATATGAAGAGTTCAGATGCAAAAGCCTCTAAGTGCCATTTGAAATTTTCTTCTAAAATGGTCATTTTTATGAAGCTTATATATTCAAGTTCAGTAATTTCACTTAAATGACAATTAATAGGTAATCCTCATTGCAATTTAAGTGAAATTACTGAACTTAAATATACAAGCTTGATAAAAATGATCATTCTAGAAGAAAATTTCAAATGGCACTCTTGAATGAACTCTTCATATATACACACACATATACACACATATATATATATATATTATATATATATATATATGATCATAACCTATGACAAAAAAATATTTTATAAACTAGATTAGTGGGTAACTCAGCAGTAAAATTTAGTCTAGAAAAATCACAAGTGCACAATAAACAGTATAAAATCTGACCTTTTAGTAAAAAAAAACCTTATTTAGTGGGGAACAAATAAGAAACAATAAGTGTAGCACTAAATCTGGTAAAACATTACATATTGCTCTTTGTATTGTTGTAAAATACATTCATGAAAAACAAGATAAAAATCTGAAAGATCAATTAATTTATATACTGTATATAGTCTACTATAAAATTAAGACATTTTTTAAATGTACAGCACAGCTGTTTAATGAGACAGCACCATCGATAGAACAGAACAAAAAAAAAAGGCTTTTAATAAGCTTTCATTGTGCAACAGTATTATGATATGATTATGAAAGACTCCAAAACAGTGCGGCACAAAGCGCTCATGCGCATCCCGAGCGCAGAATGATGCGCTTGAAGACACACGGAGTCACAGCGCGCAGCTCTTCGAGTCTGCCGCATTGAAAAGTTAAAAGCATAAAGGAAAGAGAAAGACATATCGATGCATATTGACAGTATCCATCTATGCAATAGTTTATTGAGCCTTTTCTTTTAAGTAACAGTTTTAAATTTTACTGTGCACGCATGAAGAACAAGCGGAGGCTGTTGTTACTCGTTAGTACTCAGTTACACTTTATTTTAAGGTGACAGTTACATTGTAATAACTCAAATAAGTACTGAGTAATATTAATTAACTAAATGTACTTACGGTTTGGTTTAGTGTTACATTACGAGTTATACTAAAGTATTGTGTAACGTCACCTTAAAATAAAGTGTTTCCAGAATTACTTGAATGAATTCATAAATGAATCATCAATGAATATTGATGCAAAAGCATCAGAACCTACATGTGAATAAAAAAAAAATTCAACACAAGTTCATATTATCAAAAGTTTGAGGTCGTTTTAGTATTTGTGAAAATCTCATACTCACCAAGGATTTATTTGATCAAAAAACAGTGTAATATTGTGAAATATTATTACATTAACCTTTCTACTTTAATATATTTCAGAGAAGCTGAAATTTCATAAGCCATTAGTCCAGTATTCAGTGACACATGATCCTTCAGAAATCATTCTAATAATCCTTATTTAACATTTCTTATTATGCTAAATTGATGAATGGCCAATTTAATGCATTCTTGCTTTTTTTTTTTAAAGTATTTATTTCCTTTGAAAAAAAAAAATCATCCTAAGTCTGACCCCAAACTTTTGAATGGTAATGTACCTAACCCATCAATGTGGGATTCACAATTAGTGATATGTTTTTTTAGGCTTATATTTTCACATAAATTCAAGCAAAGAGCTACAATGCTGATTATCTGAAGCAAAACAAATTCTTTCACTCATGTGGTTAAAAAAACACTTTCTAAAACGATGAGGCGGGTCCTTTCCGGGGATCAACAATGCATGGAAGAATATGTGACAGCACAGGTTAAAGTCTGAGGCAAAGTCAAATGACAGTCAGACCCTCCAGACTTACTAATTCAGTCAAACGAGAATGCGTGTTCTATTTTCAGCCTCTGGCAACTTTAGTGAAGGGAGAGAGTGCTAACTACTGAAGTGAACTAAGTAGAAAAACACAGAGCAAAAGACTCCATGAGTGACCTTCCAACTTATGAGATGTTTACACCATCTCACCTGGTTTAACTTTCCACAGCAAAATTAATCATGAGATAACTCACTCACCTCGAAAAGCTTGATCAGTGACTTCATATACAGTCTGCGGATCCCGAAAGACACGCCGAGGATTGCGGGTACGATGATGAACACCAGTAGAAGGGTGAACCACACCGTGAAGGAAATGCCCAGAAGCATGCAGATCAGGCTGTCGAAGGGGAAGAGGTAGGACTCCATCTTGACCAAGACGCAGGGAAGGAACGATTGAAAAGTGACGAGATTACCTAAACTCAGACTGATGGATTCCTCTATAGTGCCTCAATTTCTGAAGCCTACGCTGAAAGACAGCCTTCATGGGCATGTAGGGGAAAATGATCATTTTATATCCATATCCATCAAATTAACACCTTACGATGCTACAGACATCTCTGCGGGACACATCAGGGTTAAGAAAACCCTGAATGAGACAGGAGTGTTGGAAATATAAATAAATGTGCATAAATGTTCAATCTTTGCTACTTTCACAGTCTCTTGGAATGAATATTTCTTCATCAATGACCTGTTTGAAATTGTATCACATCACCGTCCACTGCCATTTCTGCCATATCTAGAAAAAAAGAATATTTTTGTTCTTAAGGGTTCAAAAAAGCTCACAATCAACTGTTCACATGAAATATTTTGTTTCTGACATATCTAGGGAAAAAAAGGAGGGGAAAAAGTTTTTGAAGAGTTCCACGTCATCTATGGAAGCATACGAGTATCAAATTCAATTTGAAATGTAATATGCAAAATAACAATGCAATATGTAAAATGGAAATGCAATTTTGTAAATTTAGATTTTCCATTACAATTGTACAACGTTGGTGCAAAATGAAAATGGTAATTCAATTATATAATTTACATTTGATACATTAGTTTTAGTATATAAATTGAATACATATTTTTGCGATTTGACGATTTTTTTAAGTTACAAAATAAAGAGCGGTCACATTATTCTGTATGAAATTGACCGGTCAGATTCTGTGACCCTCCTGTACCTATAGATTTATCAATATCTGATCAATATTCTTAATAAAATAGAAATGGGGCAGTTTTTGCTTAACCATATCTAATCATTTCTGTAATACATTTTAATTTTAATTTAGCAACTTATAAAGCGTAAAATATGTATTAAATTTATATATTAAAACTAGTGTATGAAATGGCAAATGTAAATTATATAATTTATTTTTCATTTTACACCAACGTTGTACACATGTAATGGAAAATGTCAATTTAAATACAGAAATATATTGCAATTTTACATATTGCATTATCATTTTGCATATTACATTTCAAATTGAATATCGGTACCATATGCTTCCATACACAATTGTCCACTTTAAATATTTTGACATTATTTAATAAATAAAATGACACATGGCTTTCCCCCTTTATGATTAATCATCTAAAAATTAGATTCGTAGTAAAGAAATGTTGATGAACACTATTGGACAACTATAACGAGTCGCCTATTTAACAGATTGTAACGGACAATTCAACATCACTCTAAATTAAGCCAAATATCTCTATTATAACACTTAAAGCATAATCTTCATCTTAACACCTGAAATAAATGTTAATTAGATCTTAAATGAACCATAAATGGGTTAAAAACTGCAGTTGTATGAAACATTTCTTGTATGCAGCTGTAACTGTTAAATGACTGGATGCTAAAGCGCTTATCAACAGCTTCTCTTTTAATCACGCAATTAAATACCCACACGTCTTTAAATGTATGGAACCCGCTGTTAATACTGACCTGTTCCCTGAAGGTGGCGTTTAAATGCAGATTTGTCCTTTCAATAAAATACTAATTTGATATTTTAGCAACGTGAGACCCTGCTGTTTTTGTTGTTATGCAACAAGTTTAAGAGCATCAGTAGCGGCGCGCATTGCTCGATCAGCAGCATCCACAACTTCCGCTTCCGGTGGGCTCGGCTACTTCGGCATTGGCTGAGGATGTTTGTCCCTCCTACCACCCTACCACTGATCTCCAAGCCTAGCTGTAGCAGTTGTCCTTTTGCAGTTAATGGGGCGAGTGTTGCGCTCGTGTTTCGGGAATAAATAGTTGCGGGGATAGCTGATTATAGACCAGCCAGCGGCGTCTGCATTATTAATATATATATATATATATATATATATATATTTTTTTTTTTTTTTACAAATATTTAATTTAGGCTATAAACTAATAGTCAAGTTTCCATTTTGTTAGACTATACAAAAATCACGCAACTTAGGCATACTTTTCATTTGAAACTTTTTAAAATGCTTTTTATGTAGATTTGATTGATTTACTGAAAATCCAATCCAATAATCCATCAAAAACTATTGAAAAACGATCATATTTATGTATTTAGATTTGTATTTATCGTATATTTAGATTTTCTTAATGAAATAACGGTTCTATTGATGCCATTTCCACCAAAACTGAAAATTTTGCAATAAACATTAGCATACTTGGTTACTGCCTTTGGAGAGAACAGGCAGTAGGCCTACAGCGTAAGGAATAAAATTACAGTTTTTCTCAATCGATTTGGTACATTTCTCCAAACTCAGGTAACTGCTCTCAAAACAGTTAGCACAGCAAACTAAACACACTCTTATGTTGGCGGAACAGCTAAGTATTCACTGCACAATGAAACACAGCATTTTATTCTAGTAATGCATTTATTAAAAATCAATATTAACATCAAAACTAAAAGTGTGTTCTCTGTTGATTTGATAACAAATTCAGCTGTAGATACACAAAGAAATAAATGCAAATACATGTTTTTCATTAAGTTCTTTACTGTAATGATGAGTCCAGTTGTATTACAATGAGTTGTCACCCCACAAAAAAAATAAAATAATAATGCAAATAAGTATACAAGTATAAAAAAAAAATCATTGAATCTATTATTTTATTGGTCATGCCTCTCAATTGCATCTGGCCATAGAATTTCATCAACATCACAGCAAATATTTTCACGAGTCATGCATCGTGGGAAAAAACGCCTTGAATGCTGTATCCATCCTTGGCATGCTTGTGCCCCAATATCCCCACAGGCCTACTCCATCGCTTGAAGAAGACTTACTTGGTTGTAAGGGTTGCGGTCATGTACTTTCCATCTCCAAGAGGAAAAGAATTCCTCAATTGGATTCAGGAAAGGAGAATATGGTGGAAGGAACACCATCCTGAAACGTGGGTGATTCTCAAACCACTCTCGCACAAGTGCTGAATGGTGGAATTGGACATTGTCCCAAACAACTACAAAATTCCGCATCACTTGCTCCTGTTCACCCTGCGGAAAGAGGATTTCATTGAGGAGATTTAAAAAATTTAGGAGCCTTGCTGTGTTGTATGGTCCCAAGACAGCATTGTGTGCCACAAGTTGTTGATATTGTGGCACAGAGAGTGATGTTGCCTCCTCGTTGTCCAGGGACATTGACTGTAGCACGATGGCCGATCACATTTCTCCCTCTTCTCCTTTTTTTGTGAAGATTGAAGCCTGCTTCATCAATATACAGGTACTCATAATGAGTTGCACTGCTATCCAACTCCAAGATTCTCTAGAGTAAAAAGAACACGAGTATTGGTCTGTCCTCCTCTAGCTGTGACTGGTTTGCTAATTATCTCACCAACCGTGTCCAGCAATTGAAGGTTGACAACATAATGTCAGACCCACTTACTGTCTCTAAAGGTGTGCCTCAAGGCTCCATCCTGGGTCCAATCCTTTTTTCTATCTACATCAATGATATAGCCAGAGCTGTTGGTACCTCTCGGATTCATCTTTATGCAGATGATACCATTTTGTACTCAGTTGGTTCCTCTCCCAATTCTGCGGCTTCCAGTCTTAAACTTAGCTTCACCTATTTAGAGCAGTTCTTTGACAGTCTCCACCTCCGTATTAACACCAGTAAGACAAAATGTATCCTTTTTAGCCGAAAACAGGTTACAGAAACTCCACCTACAATCACCTGCATGAACGGTACGGTTCTGGAGTATGTCAAGGAATATAAATATCTTGGTATCTGGTTGGATTCATCCCTGTCATTCATTAAACACATCAATAACCTTCAAACAAAAGTCAAAGCTAGACTAGCTTTTCTTTTTCGTAATAAAGCCTCCTTTACCCATGCTTCCAAATGCACCCTCGTAAAGACGACAGTACTGCCAATCTTGGATTACGGCGACATTATCTACAAAATGGCACCAAACACAGCTCTAAAAAAACTTGACACAATCCATCATTCAGCCATCCGTTTTGCCACTAATGCACCCTATCACACTCATCACTGCGACCTGTATAAACTGGTGGGTTGGCCCTCCCTTCATACCCGGCGGCTCCATCATTGGTTTCTCTTCATATATAAGACAATTCTGGGCAAGGCACCTCTCTATTTGTCATCCCTACTTCATGCCGCTCATAACACCTATCACACAAGATCAAGTAATTTGATTAAATTTAGTATCCCCCCTACTTCTACTACCTTTGGACATAATGCCTTCCGCTTTGCATCAGTACACGACTGGAACATACTACAAAATACCCTGAAACTTACATCTCTGATCCCAATCTCCACCTTTAAGCAAAACCTCGAAAATTACATAGTTGACTCTTGTTCCTGCTGACAATCATGAACCATATTTACACACTTATTTAAGCACTCTATTCGTTTTCTTTTTCCTCTTTGTTGTCTTTTTTATTTTTATTTAGCTGCTTGTTCTAAGTGTTATGTGTTTGACTATGTACAGCTGTACATTATGTTCTTATTTTTTCCTGTAGCCTCTTGGCCAGGTCATGTTTGTAAATGAGAAGTGGTTCTCAAACATTTTACCTGGATAAATAAAGGTTAAAAAAAAAAAAAAAAACACAAGGTACAATACAGTAAGTTAGTGTTTTACAGTAATGGCATTGATTGCAGTAAATACTACTGTGAAACTGTTTCTGAAGTTTGAGTTCACACTTTGACGCAGCAGTATATACATAGATATCCCTAAATCTTTTCACTTACAGTAGCATGGAATAGGTTATGGACACATACTTAAAATTCAGAGAAATTATATCTTTGTTTTGACAATAAAAGTGCAGTAATTGGGTTGCACATACTTGAACAAACTGGAATCGCAACTCCTTCACTCTGACGGAGTTCCTCTCAAAGGGCACTTTGTATACTTGCTTCATTCGGATTGAATTTCTCCTTAGAACACGATCAATTGTGGAGAGACTGCATTGGTGGATATTGTGGAACAGTTGATTGTCCTGTATTATCCTTTGCTGAATTTCTCTGAGGCGGAGGGTGTTGTTCTGGACCACCATGTCAACAATGGCATGCTCTTGTTCAATTGAAAGAAGTCTTGTTCTTCCACCTGAATGTTCTCGCACTTCAATTCTGAAAAATGTTTGGACAAGAATTTACAGTAGAAATCTAGACCTATGTCACACAAGACTACATGGACTCTCATTGTAGAATTATATAGTTACTTACCGGTTTTCCCTCTGAAAAGTGCGGATAATTGAAGCCACTGTGGATCTGTTTATATTGGGCTGAACTCTCTGCCCAGCTTCTCTCAGTGAGAGACCATGATTTATGACATGGTCAATCAGTGTGGCTCTGATTTCATTTGAAACATGCGTGTACCCTATCCTTCTACCTCTCCTCCCTCTTACACCTTGCCATCCTCTTACACCTCGCCCTCCTCTTCCTCTCTGTCCATCTCTTCTCATATGTTCTACTCTTTCTCTTTCCACTATACCATTTCCCTCCACTCTCTCCATCTCTTCTCCCTCTACTCCTCTATCTTCTCCTCTTCCTACATCCTCAGCTCTTCTTTCTCTTTCTCCTACATCCTCAACTCTTCTTTCTCCTTCATCCTCAGCCCTTCTTTCTCTTTCTCCTACATATTCAGCTCTTCTTGCTCCTTCTCCAGCTCTTCTTGCTCCTTCTCCATCTCCTCTTCCTCCTTCTCCATCTCCTCTTCCTCTTCTTTTCCCTCTACCCTGTCCACCACCTCTCACTCTTACACCTCTTCCTTTTCCACTGCTCATTCTCCTTCTTTTCAGTATTTTTTTCCTCATTCATCTTTGTTCTTCTTCTCTTCAACCTTTTATAGTTATTGTAATTACTGTCTGACAGCTGTGTGAACAATTAGGAAATTGGCTTTTTCTGTGTTGAGTGGATTATTAACTCATCAGATATCAATTTGGGGTTAATTGAGGACATAAGGTGTGCAACTGATTATTTTACAATTCATAGAGTTTTGTTTGTTGAGTTTTGAAAATGGTACAAAAATGTTTGTGATCTTTGTGAAGACCAATGAAAAAGCTGCAAAAGTTTTTCCTGATATATTAAAGATTTGATTGGGTGTATGAACTGCTGTGACAACATTAGGGAATTTTGTGCTCAGTGTTTTGAGAAAATTATGCTTTTGATTTGTAATTTGTATGAAATGAAGGAGAATTTACTATCTGTTTAGGACAATTACGAAGAGTACAGATCACTGTGTTAAATGTTTTGAGAGCAGTTACCCGAGTTTGGAGAAATGTACCAAATCGATTGAGAAAAACTGTAAAAAGGTATATTTATCTGTGCGTCACTTCCGATCTAGCTTTTTATGTGTCAAATTGTGCAATAAGTGTGAAAATCTTAGTGAATCGGATATGTTTAGTTGTTTAGTTTAGTTTAGTTTAGTTTAGTTTAGTTTATTAAGATAGCTACTGCAAAAGCAGTTGCAATTCTTCCTGGGGTCTGACTTCAACACAAAAAAATATTCTTATAACATAAATAAAACCATACATTATATAGACATAAAAGGAGTGTACACATTCATACATGACAAAACAGCAACGTACCAAAACCAATAAAACAATAAAACAAACAGCACATTATTCATTATCACAATACAGTTACACTACTAGGGTTCATAATTTTCACAATGTTTTTCAAT